CGAGGTTTCTGGATGGATGTGTGAATGAATGTCCAGATGAACTAATTTGTGGGACTTGGGACTCCAACAAGGGTATTGCTACAATTTGGATCCTAAATGGCCTCAAAAGGCCTGTGTGTTAAAGACTTTGTCCAGAGTGGCACTAATGAGAAGGGGTGGGACTTTTAGAGTCTAGTGAAATGATTTTAGGTAACTGGGGTCTCACAAGGGTGCACCCTTGGAAGAGTTACTGAGACCTCAGCCTCCTTCTTGTCCTTTGCTCTCTCTGGCTTATGATATGAACAGTTTTGTGCCAACACCTTCTCCCACTATGATGCACTGCCTTTCCACCTGCCCAAACAAATGGGTGGGCAGATGATCATAGATTGGCGCCTCCAGAACTTTTTTCTCTTTATAAACCAATTTTCCTAGTTATCTGTTACAGTAATAAAAACCTAACAGGGACACAATATTAGAATTATAGTCTTTTTCTGGGTTTTGGTTTGGGGTTTTGATTTCGTTTTTGAGACAGGGTCTCCCTGTAGCCCTAGCTGGACTGGAACTTGCTAAGTAAACCAGGCTGGCCTTGATCTCACAGCCATCTTCCTTCTAAGTGCTGGGATTAAAGGCATGTGCCACCATACCTAGCTTACAGTCTTAAACTTATTTTTTAGCAATTGTGAAACTATTTTAACCCTTCCTTGCACTGGAAAGGCAAAAGTACATTAAAATAAATAATAATGAAATGTACACAGCAAATACTAGAATAAAGTGCCTATATTTATTGATTTGTACGCTAAGTATTTTAGTTTAGAGTAAGAAGTGTAAGTTTTATAAGATATCGTAGGACAAAAGTTCTCATGGAAATGTTTCAGAATGAAACACTGTAAAAGTATCTGCCAACCAAACAGCTGTGAGGTATGCATAGCAGTAAAATAGATATTTCTGGAAGGAACACATGGGATACATCTCCAAGACACTTCTGAAGACTCACTCATATTGAAGCAATAAAATATTAACCAGAAAATTTTAAGGAGGTACAAATCATGAGGATGAAAATCTCTTTAGTTGGGCCACACACTTAAAATAAGGATGTTCGATATACTGTGAAGCACAGCAGCCATCTATGAAATCTAGGAACATGTTTGGAATCCTACCCCAAATACTCTGCAGGCTGACCAACAGAGGTATGTGTCCAACCCCTAATCACACAGGTGACCACATTCAGAGGCCATGCCCATCACCCTGGCTTTATCCACATCTGTGAGTTCTCTTACAATGATTATGTTGTCAGGAATCACATGCAACAACGGTCAAGTTATGACAAAGTTCACAAAAATAATGAATAATGCTGATGTTAGTATCAGATACAAAACTCCCTTTGTAGCAACAGGCCAGCTCCCAGTGAATTCGAAGCTAGTAAAGAAAACAAGGAGAAAAGAGTGCAGAAGGGACCACTGCCTGTACAAGTGACGAGTATGCTAGGGACAATGTCCAAGGCACTGTGTCCCAGAACAAAGCAGAGGGCTCTGCTTAGGGAGACCTAGAAGATGCTCACATGCTGGTGTTGGCTGGTATTTCATGTAAAGGCAGACACATTCCTGAGCCTGCCAAGCTTCTTCTGTATCTATATCTGTGTTCAAAAATGACTGATGGGAAAAGTCTCCTGGGTGGAGATTTTAGTATTATAATGGGAATGTCTACTGTGGGTCACCTAGAAGAATGAGTCAGAGCAACTCAGCCATTTTGGCCTGTTGAGTGTAAGTTTCCCTAGAGATCCTTATTTGAAACAAAAGCAGAGCTTGAAAGAACTCTAGCAGGCATTACTGAGGCTACCGTCCCCACCCCCACAAGCATGGATGATGGAGCCTAAAAAGGCTCTTTGGCAAGGAACGCCTTTCCCCAAAAAGATTAATTGGTATTTAAAATGTGACTAGACACTTTTTTAAAACTTGCAAATTGTTGTCTCTCTTCCATTGTGCCTTGGGAAGTCTAGGCTAAAACTAATAGCTTCATAGTTAACAATATAGTTCCCCTTGAACAATCCCTTCGTGATCCAACCTAGGTCTAGGCAACATTCAAAATGCTTAGCCCGTTAGATTAGCCCCTTTAAAACCTTCTGAGGAAAGATGAGAAACTTGAAAGGGCTACAATGAGGCTGACAGATTCTGGATCATTAAATTCCTGACCAGATAGGAACCCAGCATAGAACTGGGAAAATGAACAGCAGACCCCAATCTTTTCCAAAGGAATATTGACAACTGATTACTGCTAGATGAAGAACAGCTGGCCCTCCTAAAACAAAGACCTCTAGATAGGCTGACTAGATTCACCAGAAGGGCAAGTAGTGGGGAGGGCTGGGGTGCTGACAACACAGCGGACAGTAGCAGGGATATCAGAGTATAAGGGCTCTAGTCGGGGGAGGGAGGCTATGCGAGGGGCCATCTGGGACGTGAATGTATAGTTGAATAAGATGGTTTGGGGTGTTCTGTGTGATACACACAAACACACACACACACACACATGCACAAATCAACAAATTTTTTTAAATGTATTATATTTGAGGAGGAAACATGGAAATTTACATCATGCTAATTAGTAGAGGTGATAAACATTACCACTGAAATCTACCCGATGACTTTATAGATATACACAGGCGCCAAGGATCCAAGTGCAACTGATTATGACTAGTAATAATCAGATGCATACAGATTAGAGATGCATGTGCCAACATTTCAGTGTTAGTAGCAAAAACAATGAATCTTTCTGTAAGGAACAATATATTCTAAAATGAAGGTTTTAAAA